GTGTAAGAGCACTGCCAGACTCTCTGACATGATCCTCAGAAACAAACGGCCTAATGTAGCCACTGAGACTATTCCTCTTCACTGTCTGTGCAGAGACGAGGAGGCTGGCAGTGAGGGAAATCGCATCACCCACTGCTCTCTTGTACTAACAGCGCTGATTGACGTGCGGCAGCACATTACACAGTCATACAGTCGAGCTGCTGCTGTCCCCACCCATCCTGGCTGACAGGCACTGCCATCTCTGAGTAAGGACACCTGATCCCCTCCTGGACCTCCACGACTTTCAGCTCAGGATGCTGAAGACACATTACCTTAGAAGAGAGGGCTGAAGCCTGCAGAGGTTCAGGGTGAGGCAAATGGTTGGGAGCAAAACCAGGTTCAGTCACCCAGGTTTTATTCATAACCACACAACTGTCAGAGTCCTGAAATATTATCACAGAAGCAGTGACTGCAGCTACAAGAGGCACTGTATTAACCAAATTCACTGTCTTTGATTTCTGGTATCAATGCTGCATATTTAATATTCTCCCAATGAACTTGTTTTGAGGGTATTTTTAGCTGAATTATATTTTTAAAGACAAATTTCACAGAACTGTTTGGACAGAATGACACAAAATAAACTCTCCCCATTTTCCCACCAACTGTGGCTTTCACTGAGGAGAAATGACTTGGATTGTCCTTATAAAAACTGGTTCTAGTTTGCCTTCAAGATGTCATCCCCTGCCCAGCGTAGGGGAAGAGCTGTTTGTCACAAGTTTTTTTCTCTAAGTTAAACAATGTATTTTGGGGCATCACAGCCTATCTTAACCGTAAGAAGGTATGAAAGGAAACCCAGCAATGGTGTCATGATCCCATCTCAGCTACAGTCATACACAAGAAAGACACCTCTCTTTGAAAAGAAAAACGGTCGTACCAGCATAGTTTTTCTCCACAGTTCTGTTCACATTGGATGCAAAATGTCATTTGTGAACTTCTCCCTACTGCTGAAAGTGGCTGACTAGTTTCACCTGAATTTTCCCTTTTGGTCGTTTCCTGTTATGCTGAGAGAAGATGTAGTGAGTAAGAGTTTCTAAAAATGCTGAGAACCTACAGCATGGGATTAAAATGAAATTATTGAAGCAAGTTAGAATGTTGCTGCTAGGCTTGCCTTCCAATAGCCAAACCAGAAATAGGAGACATTGATTGAAGTGCAGTATATGAGGTGTGCTATCACCGTTCAGGGAGTGAGCTTCAGCCAGGCAGATGTTAGGACAATGAAAAGATGCTGGCCCCCGCATAGAAGACAGACCTACACAGCCTGTAAAGAAGGGTATGTTTCTGAGCCCACTGCATACTTAAGCACTCAGGAATATGGTAATACTGCAGTAGTTTACCCTGCAGAAACATGTCACAGAAATGCTTCCAAGAAGCAGCAGCAGGAACAGGCTGGAGGGAAGGGCCACCTCGGGGGTTTCAGTGACCCAAACTCACAGGCTTTCAGTTACCCAGACTGGTCCAAACTGTGTGAGAACCAGGTGCTCTCCATCTAGGTGTGAATGCAGAGAGAAAGCACAGACTTGGATAAAGCCAAGTAGGATGACACATTTTATACGTTCGTTTTGCTATACACATTTAGATGGATGGGTGTAATTTCCAATACAGAAAACACGAGGCTCAAACAGTAGTGTGAGTAGAAAATGAAATATACATAGCAAATAATAAAGATAATTACTCATAGCTCCTCTGCAAACATACCCAGACAACAGGAATACAATATGGCTTCCCCAGATATTTTAGCCCCTGACAGTGAAGCTAGTTTTTGGGTGACTGTGCAAGGGAAAAATTCAGAGAGGCTTCAATATTGTGGCAAATCTGTCTCATGATGTATTAATTAGAATAAGATTGATGAAAACTATGTGTGCAAAGTGAAGGATAAACACAGGTCTTCTAAAAATACGAATTTTTTAAAGTTATTTTTGACTTAGCATCTATTTTTGTACTAAGACATACCAACATTTTCACTTTAAATTTTGGCCTGCTGTAAGAGCAAATACTTAGCCTATACTTCAATATTTAGTGGCAAAGGTAAACATTGTTTACTCACATTTTTAGTTGTTTTAAGTGGTAACACCAAATACAAAACTACTGCTAAGACATGTGTCTTAAATATTTTTTCACTGTCACATTTCACAGCTTAGTGAAATATAGGAGCTAAAATAGCTGCACAGTCATCCCTAGTCCCGAACTGTGTGTATTCTATAAATGTCTTGTCTCTGTCAAAGGTGTTTTTTTCTTCATTAAAAAAGGTAAAATTCATGCTGCAGAATAATCATGTTTTTGTGCTACTTACTTCCCAGTTAATCTGTATTTTATCTTACTTGAAAACTAAAATGTGTTTAGACTTTGTGTCCATTTCCAGTGATTAACGCAAAGGGAAGAAAATCTGTTTGTCTGTGGTATTGGTGAACTGTGTTTTCCTTAAGTCAGACTAGAATCTAAAATAATTTTCTAGTGCATGCAGTGTTTAGCCAATATTATAGACTTGTCCCTATTGCATGCCTTGTAAGTAGCACTGGATAAAACCTCTTTGGTCAATATGGAAAACACTTCACAGATCAGCTATTTGACCATCCAGTGCAACCAAGGCAGAAGAGCATTTTGTGCCATTGATCAACAATAATTCCTGGCATTTACAAGGCATCTTTAATCTGAGAGCCTTAAATTGCTCTGCAACAATAATAAATTCTCAGAGTACCCCTCTGAATTAGGTGACATAGTACTTGATTTACAAATGAGCAAAGTGAAACATCAAGGAGTAAGATAATTGTTCAAGGTCAGATAGTGAATTTTTGTCAGTCTGGTAAAACATCTAATCTTACAGCCTTTTGGATTTGTGGAAAATAAGTGTAAACTTTGCTACCGAAGCAGATTGTTAGGTTTCTAGCTGCTGTTCACTTACTCTGCACAGATGTTAACCTGCCTGTAATGACGATGTAAGACAGCAAAGAACCATGTTCCCAAGCAATCATGTTACAGATTAGGAGAAGACTGAATGCTTTAAGTGTGGAAAACTTTTTAAACTTCTGAATCACTGCTAGCTTTTGAATTAAGAAGTCCAATGCAAAGACATCTTAGCACATTCCTGTACTCTAGTTCTGCTGTTATTCAGTGGTAAAAGGGACACTCGGTTCTGAAGAAGGACGTAATGGGCGGCACATGAACTGTACACACAGGCAAGGCTCCAAGTTTAATGGCAAAAATTTCTCTGTACAGATGTCTGATAACAGAATTGGGTTTCAAAATGTGTAGACCTGTGAAGAACAGGGTATAAATACCTCCACAGATGTCAGGGCATGCAATTACAATCCAGTTCAGAGCCGTGGGATGAAGCATACCTTCTTTAGATTTGAAAGGAAAAAATAATCTGCATAGTAAAAATACTATAAAGATTGGTGGTTATTTTATCACCCTTACTCTTAATATAAATGTGAGTGGAGAACTGTCGTGATTGATAGGATTTCTATTTCTGGGGTTTGCAGGGGGTTGAAAACCCTCTCCTCCAGGCAAATCAGATTGCAGATTATATCTAAGCCCTGGTACATTTAACAATATACACAGTTAAAAAAAGATCCTCTCCTGTATATTCTGTGTCTTGTTCTGCTCTTTTCGCACTTCAGTACCTTATGGTTTCAAGTCTGTGCTTTTAGACCTGTTTCACACCCCCGATTTCTAAATCCTGTGTCATTCTTCTTCCTGACAATTTTAAATATATTCATACAGAAAAGAGATATTTATGGTTTAACATTTTAATAATGCTGCAGTCAGATTTTATTAGTGCTTCTCTGTTACATTTCACATCAGATAGGAAAGAGTAATGAAGAGAATATCATTGTGGGATTTTAGGCTTATGAGCTTAATGTATTATGATACAACAAAATGTATTACCTAAAGGTCCCTTTCTCACAAAGGCAGATGAGACCACCATAGATATGACAATACAAAGCAGCAGTCGAACCAGTGATAACATTGTATAATTGCAAAAACTTTTTTTTTTTTTTTTTTTTTTAAGAAAATTTAATTTATTAAAAAGAAATTTGAAATAAAGAGCTTTAGGATTCCTAATGTTGACTGTATGCATATTACACAGCTTGTAAGAACAGAAATTACAACTAAACAGAACCAACCCTATTTTCCTGCACGATGTAATTTGACCCCCGAATTTGCAGCAGATAGCTTGGCCATCTGGATAGAGTGACAGGATGTAAGAAATCACCAGTTCAGTGGCGTACAAATGGTTGGAAGGAATCCCTTCCAGATGTCCTCAGAACCACTGCGGGGTTTCAAACATTCTGGCAGCTGAGAGCGAAAACATTTTAAAAACCCTCTTATTTTCTTCCCATGCTCACTTTGCTACTTAGTAGGCATGAGGGTAACTTCCAAAGAAAACTGGACAGACATTACTTAGTCTGGAACGAAATCAGTATTAAACGTGAGGGGAGCTCCCCTTTTGCTCTCATTCCAAGTGATAACGGACTTCAAGCCGAACTATCTCCCAAAACCTAAATTACACTAAATATTCATTTCAAGAGCACTGATTATCTCCAGAAAGGAACATGCTGCTCCAGACAACAAAGTTATTAGTAAAACACTTGTTTTCTCCGGCCGGCGGCTGCCTGCCCCAGAGCAGCCGTCCCGGGAAGCCCGCAGGTCCCTGCCTGAAGGCGCCGGGGCCCTGTAGTGCCGGGCTATCCGGCTGCCGCGGGCACTGCCCGGCTGCGGGCAGGCGGGTGGGCAAACGGGCAGCGCACCACCGAGCTCTGCCCTGCCCTGCAGATCCGGCGAAACAGGCCTGGGCCTCCCGGCGGCCGCCCCGCCAGCGGCGGCCCTCTGCTCCGACACCCGCCCGCAGGCTCACCCGCAGGCCGCCCCCGGGGCTCCAAGGCCCGTTAGCTCCCAGCGGAGGCG